GTCCATGGGGATCCAACAGCAAGGCAGGGTGGTGCGCCGGCTGCGCCAACGGCACCAAAGATGCACATGCTACAGCGACAAGAGCGGAGAACACCACCAGCAATTTCATTTTGAATCGTGGTCTGTGTTGTGATTGAGCAAACACGATCACTTCAAACCGATTATTGGTTGACTGATAATGCAACAATATTGTCAACAGCTTTTATACTGTTCGTAGTCAAATAAGTATGTAATTAAATTTTAACCATACGAGGCTAAAAATTAATGTTTGTAAAATATCAATGTCAAGTGTCACATGAAAGTAAACAGCCTCGAGCCTTACCCTACCGACTTTTATGTTCATTTATGTATCAAATACGCTAAATTTAAATCCTTTATACAAATATAATTTGTGTAATAAGCTCAGAATCGATTACCTAGCCAATACACACTCGTATATCGATACTCGAATAAATACATACGGCTTCTTCTTTTTATTCCTTGTGTATCTTACTTCTTACTATACTATATACTATTACTATTACTATTACTATTTTAGATGGATAGATGGATGGATGTTTGTTATAGTTTGTAGCCCAAACTGCTGAACGGATCTCGATGAAATTTGGCATAGTTGTAGAGAATAGTTTGGAAGAACACATAAGCTACATACTTTTATTTAAATTTCACGCGTATGGAATCAAGGGCGAAATATAGTCTAGCTAATAGAATAAATAAATGATAGTAAATAAAATTTGCCATTGTTGAAAATACATTTTGAAATAAAAATCTTTTATTTGAAATAGTAGCATAATTGAACTTTTAAGCATAATCACTGCATCTATTTGAAGCGTTTAAGAACCAAACTTAATAGGTTTAAATAGATTCAACGATATGTGCCAAGAAAAAAAAATATCTGATTATGTTATATAATTACAATGTCTACCATGAGGTGGCGTAGACAGATGGGGTCCAGAGTGAACGAGCGTCAACGACAGCGGGCGCTGCAACGAACTGCTGGTTGTAGACAGCAGGGGACAACACCTGTTCGGTCAGCAAAGCCGGGGAGCTGCGCACATCGTAGCGTGACTGGTGAGAGACAGCGGCGGGGGCAGCGTACAGGGGCGCAGAGTATACCGAGCGAGCATCAACTACCGCTGGCGCAGCAGCAACCACGGCAGGAGAGGTG